GGGAAAGAAGGGATAATGGGTATTAACCAACTCCAAAACCCAACAGAACAAGTTATATTAGTTCTCAAGGCTTGAAAACAATCATCTCTTCTCTGAGACTATCTGGGCAATGACCTTGCCCTCTAGACTCTGAGTGTTAGCCACATCTTCCAGATTCTGAGTGGAGGCCTCTCGGCCCTGGGCTTCAGCTCTGCCTTCCAGGACCTCTGTGAGACAACTCTGCTCCCTCGGTTTTGGATAGCCTCATTCACTTAGTCCATCTGAATGATGACTCTACCCCCTCTGCCCCAGTAGGCTCCATTCTTCTAACCCTTGGGTATGGCAGCCCTACCCCCTCAGCTTTGGGCAGAATTCTCATCCCCCTGAAACACCTTAACAGCAACCCTATATTCCGGAACTGAGTTGGAGATGATCCAAGATCTGACTCTGAAACCTAGAAGGCTGTGGCCCCACCCTTTGAAATCCAAGATACTCTGGCTCCACTCTTCAAAACACTGCTTCCCATGGTCCTTCCAACAGCTCTGCTGATCTCCAAGTTGCTCCAAGGATGGTCCTTTTTTTTTTTTATTGAGGGACAACAGATGTTGCTCCTGCCTGTAGAATTCAAAGAATCAAACAGAGCTCTTTCTTTTCATTCCTTCTCTGTCTCCTTCAGTCTAAGCTCATGAGTGGATTCCTGCTATGGTAGCTGGTTAGATCCATTAGTCACAGGCTAGATTTCTTTAACAAAAGATTGTCAGCCATGTCCTTGGTAAACAACCTATGACACGTGTCCTTAGTGGTACAATGGAATTTTCCAAATCTTTACATTCTGTTTTCATTTGCCACGGTTCACTTTTAAGTCTATCTCTGTCCTCTAACAAGGTTTTTCCTGGCCAATTCTTTGAGAAGTGGACGGCCTCCTCCTTCTTCCTAGTCTGTCTCAATTTGTAAGCTGGGCTGATACCTGTGCACCATGTGCATCCCGCTGGGTTTGAAACACCAGTGGCTCAGCCTCAAATTTCACATCAACATGTCACCATGGTAGGACAAACCGACAGACAAGTTTGTCTTTCCTCTAACATATGTTGCAAGGAGAAACCACATGGCCCCTTTAAGATCTTGCTTAGAAATCTTATCAGCCAGATATTCAAGTTCATCACTTACAAGTTCTACTTGCCACCAAACACTTGATTATAATCCAGACAAGTTCTCTGCTACTGCATAAAAAGCACCACCCTTCCTACAATTGTCTAATCACATGTTGTTTTGGTTACCTCCAGTGCTGCTCTGACAGGCGTATACCACAAATGGGATGGCTTTAACAAACGAGTTTATTCCTACAACTTGGAGGCTTTAAGTCTGAGTTCAAAGAGCCAGGCTCTAGTGGCAGGGTGAAAGCCCCTCAACCTTGGGCTTCAGCTCTGCTTCCTGCTCCTGGCCCACTGAAGCTGGAGGCTTTTCTTCACTCAGCTGCTGGCTGCTGAGGCTGACAAACCCAAGGTAGGCAGGTAACAAGGCACAGTCCCAATATTACCAAACCACGTGGCAGGCCATTAATTCAAGTCCATTGAAAGTCCCAAGATTGGCAGAGCATGAGAGGCTACTGAACAACGACTCAACTACATGTGGGGTTCGAGTGTGCCATAAGCTAGAGACCACTGACAAAACTGCTTCTTATATATGGGAAGCAGACCACATCACCAAAGCAGCCACTTAGCTGCTTGTGGTAGATGCCACTATGGAGCTGACTGTCAGTCTCATTATGGGGAATAACTACCACCAGCTGTCCAGCCACTCAATCAGGCCTGGCCAAGCTGACACACAACCTTAACTAGCACACATGTTCATCATTTTCTTTTACTGCCTCACCAGAAGCATATTTAATATCCACATTTCTGGTAATGTTTGGTTCTTGGCACCATATGTATTGTCTGGTGGCATAGTGCTTAAGGCATTTGACTGCTAACTAGAAGGCTGGTAGTTCAAACCCACCAGCCACTCCTTGGAAGGAAGATGGGGCAATCTACTTCCACATAGATACCACCTCGGAAACCCGAGGAGGAGTCACCATGTGTCAGATTTGACTTGACAGCTGTGAGGGAAGATTATGATAAAGACTTTCTCCATAGCTCTCCTCACTTCCCTCTAGGTCCTCACCAGAACTGCCTTTGATATCCATAATTCTATAAATAGTCTTCAAAGCAATCTAGGCTTTTACTATCAGGCATTTAAAAAATCCTCCAGCTTCTACCCATTACCCAATTCCAAAACCACTTCCACATTTTAGGTATCTGTTAGAGCAGCAAACTACTCTCTCGGTACCAAGTTCTATCTTAGTCATCCAGTGCTGCTGTAACAATAACAAATACTACAAACAGATGGCTTTAACAAACAGAAATTTATTTTCTCGAAGTTTAGGAGGCTAGAAATCCAAATTCAAAGCACTGGCTTTCTCTGTTGGCTCTGGAGGAAGGTCCTTGTCCCTTCAGCTTCTGCTTCCTGGCTCCTTGGGGATCTCCATGCATCTCGGCATCTGTGATAGTTGAAGATGTGTCAACTTGGCTGGACTCCAGTTGTGAGTGGTGGTTCCCATGATGGATCACATGACTGCGTTCTAAGCGGCTGGTCGGCCTAGGGGGAGTTTCCCCAGGGGTGTGGCCTACCTGCAATACTATCCCAGGGACAAAATGGAAGAACGGCATTCCGGACTATATACTTCCTGGAGCGAGCAGCTCGCTGCTCGCCCTGGAGGTTTTCGGATTCTTTCTTTGTTGGGAACAGTGACCAGCGCACTGCGTGTCAGCTTGATTCTCTCGGCTTTACTGTGCTTACGGGAACCAGACGACTCCGGGCCCCATCTCTCTCCAGAGACGAACTTTGTGACTTGAACTCCTCTGCCGTGCGTGCGAAAGCCAGACGGCCCTGGGCCCCATCCCCCTCCAGAGACGAACTTTTCAGTTTGAACTTGTTGGCTTCTACACGCTTGTGAGCCATTTATCTAAGATAAATTTCTCTCTCTCTCTCTTTCTCTCTCTATAAATATATATATATATATATATATACTTTGCTGGTTTTTGTGTTTCTCTAGAGAACCCAATCCAACACAGCATCTATCATCCCCCATCTCTCCTCTGCTCACATTCAATCTCGCTAATCCTGCTTTGTTAACATAACAAAGAAACCCACTCCCTAATGGGATTATAACTACAAGTACAGAAATTAGGATTTATAACACATATGTTTGAGGGACATAATTCAATCCATAACAGAGGGTAAGCTAAAACCCCAAAGCCAGGGAGGTTTAGAAGAACAACTCTGGAGAACTTCAGGAGGATTCAGGAACTCTAAATTCTAGACCTGGTGCTACTACTAATTTGTGACTTGTCTGCATCTCAGTTTCCCCATCTGTAAAATACAAATGTTGGTACCAGATGATACTACCCTAGCATTCTCTGGTTCTGGGCACTCTCGATTGCTGAAGATGGTTGAAGAACTGCAATAGGGGGGATACATCACTGGAATGGAGATAGAGATCTAACAGAATGCCAAGAGAAAAGATGAACAGGTAAGGACAAGTGAGCACATCTGAGCCTTAGTGAGAGCTGAGGCTGCAACCTGGCTGGCTTGGCTTCTACAAGGTCACTCTGTGCACAGGGAGGAATCCTAGGACGCAGCTTGGCTGGGATATGAAGAAGGCTCCAATTCGTGTTAAGTCCTTTGGGATCAGAACTGTGTTGTTTCATCTTTATTCTCTAGGACACCTAACACCAGATGAACAAATGATGAAAGGGAATTGCTCAAGGAGTATGAATATTATACTTCAATAGAGAGAATAAAAATTGCCCAGTGATAACAAAATCCTGTGTGGTTCAATGGTATTCAATAAATGGAATACATGCTTGATTATTAGCTCAAATTACAAACAAACCAAGGTACCCATCTATCAATGAAGATATAGCTCATCTCAACTCATCATTTTTAAGATGGAGAATCTGAGACCCAGATTGGGTAAGTGAGATGCCAAAGTCCTGTGCTAGAGGCACAGATGAGTTTAGAATACAAGTATTACTGCTCCCAGAGAAGAGCAAGTGAAATAACTAAAGATTTAGGAAATAAGGTGTTGTCTGTTTCTAAGAGGGATGGGTGACAACAATTGAAAATGTACAGAGAGGGTCTGCAGGCAAAAGGTATAGTCCTCATTCCTCTATGTCTGTCCTCACAGTAAAAGAAAATAGGTTTACTTAAAGAATAAAGGACTGTGGTCAGAAAAAGGCAGATATGGTTGAGTGCCAAGGATCAAACCCCTCCCCTGCAAAAAAAAAGTCATTACTTAATTGTGACCTTTTCCAATTGTAATTCTCCTGAATCGGCTGTTATCAAGATTTACAAAGGTTATCTGCAAGAATCTTTATATTAATAAATACCACGGTGGAATTCTTTAATGCCTCAATTCTTTGTTTAAACATCTAGATATCTTCCTCAGGGATAGCAGAAATTTATGCTACTAATTATTTCTAAAATAATGTCACTTGTGCTAAACAAACTAATCCTTTTTTATTAAATTAAGGCCTCCCAAGGATTATTCCTGCAGACATAACCACACTACCAAGTGAACCCAAGGCTAATAAGATATGCAGTGATCATAACACGTCTAGCGGAGAGAGTTCTATGTGTAAATATCTTATGGAGCCAGCACCAGGCAATGGTACCTGCAGAGTACAGTACTGCCCCAGTGAGCCAGGGCATCTTAACCACTTCTCATTAATCAGCCTCTCTTGCTTCCTGTAGCTAAAATGGTGTTTCAACAGACCAAAGGCCATTAAAAAATGAAAACATCCCTGAAAGATGGATATTAACACTATTTACAGAAAGGAAGCATTATTGAGATTTCAAATGCACCATGCATGATAGTCAAAAAGCTTACCTCAATGACCTGTCAGGGTAGGAGCAACCAGTCTAAAGAGAAATCAAAAGTTACATCCACTCTAAAAACCCATTAAAAAGGCACTCTGTTTTACCTCATTCTCTGGGGTAGGAGATGGCGTTACAGAACTAAGTGACCCTTTCCTAGAACCCTGAAGGTCTGCTGGGATGGAGACTGGGCGCTCCCACTGAGTTGTTCCCGTTGGTATGTGCCAGTAATAGGTCCCAGCGATGTCAATGATTCTTTTCCAGCCGGGTGGCAAATCTGGATCAGTCTGAAATGAGTGATCACTCCATACGTCTGCTGGAAAATCAAGAACAAAGGAGGGTTTAGTTTTAAAAAAGGAAACAAATTATATGTCTCCAATTTCAGTACTAATAGTCAAGGGGATCCCATCCATAGCTATGACCACAGTCCAACAGAGAACTAAAACCAATATGCGGACACAAAGTACAGTGAAAGAGGTGATGCGGAGGGAAACAAGGAAAATGTTGAGAAGGTAGGTTGACATTTGAGAGTATGGGCATGAAGGCCTCACCATCAAGACATCTTACGGCTCTAGGAATCCTACGACAAGCTAAAGCTCCATTAACCAGACTTAACTATCTAAATAATGTCTGCATGGTAACACACAGACTGTACTAAATCCCATCATAATTTAGTAAGATTGATTGATTGGCATCAGATGAGTACAGCTATGAGTACAACTCTAACTTTCCTTAACAATTTTGTAGAAATAAATTGTTGCTGTTGTTTGCTGCTGTGGAAACGGTCCCCAACTCATGATGACACCACGCACAATGGGACAAAATGCTGCCAAGTCCTCACCATCCTCATGACCAGTTATAGAATGGACTGTTGAGATCTATAGGGTTTTCACTGGTTGATTTTTTGGAAATAGATTATCAGAGCTTTCATTCTAGTCTCAGTCTGGAAGCTCGGCTGAAACCTGTTCAGCATCCCAGCAGTATGCAAGCCTCCACTGACAGACGGGTGGTGGCTGCACTAGAGGTACACTGGCCAGGAATCGAACCCGGGTCTCCTGCCTGGTGAGCCAGATTTCTACAATGTTTTCATGTGCTTTTAACAATTCTGCCTTTTTGACTGTAAACACTTACAGCAATGTTTTGTTTTTTTTAATAATATTCTGGAATTCTAGATTGTACACTGATAAAGATAAAGGAAAACAGATCAAAAAGCTTTGGAATTATACTAAAGGACTAGACTTTGTTATTTTTCTGGACTGACTCTAGAAACAGGCCAGTAACATAAACATCCATTACTCATCTGTCAGTTCGTTGTACTGTCGTGGCTTGCCCGTTGCTGTGAGGCTGGAGGCTATGCCACCAGTATTTCAAATACCAGCAGGGTTACCCATGGTGGACAGGTTTCAGTGGAACTTCCAGACTAAGACAGACTGGGAAGAAGGAAGGGGCCATCCACTTCTTGAAAAACTGGCCAGTGAAAACCTTATGAATAGCAGTGAAACACGTCTGATATATTACTGGAAAATTTTACAAATAGCCCTGAAACATGGTCTGATATAGTGCCAGAAGATGAGCCCCTCAGGTCAGAGGGCACTCAAAATATGACTGGAAAAGAGCTGCTTCATCAGAGTAGAGCCTACCTTAATGATATGGATAAAGTAGATCTTTCAGGGCCACCATTTGCTGATGTAGCATGACTCAAAATGAGAAGAAACAGATGTAAACATCCATTCATCATCAGAACATGGAATGGATAAAGTATGAATATAGCAAAATGGGAAGTTGTAAAAAATGAAATGGAATGCATGGAGATCAAAATTCTAGGCATTAGTGAGGTAAAATGGACTGGTTTTGGCCATTATGGATCAGAAATTCATATGATCTACTATGCCGGGAATGACAAATTGAAGAGGAATGGCATGACATTCATTGTCACAAAGAATGTTTCAAGATCTATCCTGAAGTACAATGCTGTCAGTGACAGGATAATATCCATACAAATGCAAGGAAGACCAGTTAATACTACTATTATTCAAATTTATGCACCAACCACCAAAGCCAAAGACGAGGAAATTGAAGATTTTTACCAACTGCTGAAGTCTGAAATTAACCAAACATGCAATCAAGATGTGTTGATTATCACTGCTGACTAGAATGCAAAAGTTGGAAACAAAGAAGAATCACCAGTAGTTGGAAAATACGGCCTTGGTGACAGAAATGACGCTGGAGATTACATGACAGAATTTGCAAGACCAACGACTTATTCATTGCAAATACCTTTTCTCAACAACAAAAATGGTAGCTATACACGTGGACTTTACCAGATGGAGTACAAAGGAATCAGATTGATTATATCTGTGGCAAGAGACAATGGAGAAGCTCACCATCTTCAGCCAAAACAGGGGCAGGAGCTGATTGTGGAACAGATCATCAACTGCTCATATGCAAGTTCAAGTTGAAGCTCAAGACAACTGAAACAAGTCCATGACAGCCAAAATGTGACTATTTAAATATATCCCTCCTGAATTTAGAGAACACTTAAAGAATAGATTTGATGCACTGAACACCAATGACCGGAAACCAGAGGAATTGTGACATCAAGAACATCATACATGAATAAAGCAAAAGATCATTAAAAAGACTGGAAAGGAAGAAAAGACCAAAATGGATGTCAGAAGAGACTGTAAGACTTGCCCTTGAATGAAGAGTAGCTAAAGCAAATGGAGGAAATGACATGATAAAAGAACTGAACAGAAGATTTCAAAGAGCAGGTCAAGAAGACAAAGTCAATTATTATAATGAAATGTGCAAAGATCTGGAGTTAGAAAACGAAAACTGAAGAACACACTTGGCATTTCTCAAGCTGAAAGAACTTAAGAAAAAATTCAAGCCTCAAGTTGCAATACTGAAAGATTCTATGGGCAAAATATTGAATAATGCAGGAGACATCAAAAGAAGATGGAAGGAATAGACAGAGTCACTGTACCAAAAAGGACTGGTTGATCTTCATCCATTACAGGAGGTGGCATATGATCAAGAACCAATGGTATTGAAGGAAGAAGTCAAAGCTACACTGAAGGAACTGGCAAAGGACAAGGCTCCAGAAATTAACAGAATACCCATTAAGAGGTTTCAACAAACAATGCCCCACTGGAAGCACTCACTCGGTTATGCCAAGGGATCTGGAGGACAGCTACCTGGCCAACTGACTGGAAGAGATCCATATGTATACCCATTCCAAAGAAAGGTGATCCCACAGAATGTGGAAATTATCAAACGATGTCAGTATCACATGCAAGTAAAATCTTGCTGAAGATAGCTCAAAAATGCTTGCAGCAGTATATTGAAGGGAAACTTCCAGAAATGCAAGCTGGATTCAGAAGAGGACATGGAATGAGGGACTGCTGACACTGCTGATGTCAGATGGATCTTGGCTAGAAGTAAAGAATACCACAAAGATGTTTATTTGTGTTCTATTGACTATGCAAAAGCATTTGATTAGTTTGGACCATAACAAACTACAGAAAGCATTGAGAAGAATGGGAATTCCAGAGCATTTAATGGTGCTCATACATAGACCAGGAGGCTGTCATTTGAACAGAAGGGGATAGTACATGGTTTAAAATCAGGAAAGCAATGTGTCAGGGTTGTATCTCTTCACCATAGTTATTCAATCTGTATGCTGAGCAAATAATCTGAGAAGCTGGACTATAGAAGAAGAGTGTGGCATCAGGATTAGAGGATATGATATGCAGATAATGCAACTTTGCTTGTTGAAAGTGAGGATGACTTGAAGCACTTATTGATGAAGATCAAAGAGTGCAGTATGCAGTACGGATTACATCTCAATATAAAGAAAATGAAAATCCTCACAACTGGATCAATAAGCAGCATCACAATAAATGGAGAAAGGACTGAAGTTGTCAAAGATTTCATATTACTTGGTTCAATAATCAATACCAATGGTAGCAGCAGTCAAGATATCAGACGATGTATTGCACTGGGTAAATCTGCTGCAAAAGACCTCTTTAAAGTTCTGAGGAGCAAAGACGTCTCTTTGAAGACTAAGTGTGCCTAACCCTAGCCATGGTATTTTCAATCCCCTCTTATGCATGTGAGAGCTGGACAATGAATAAGGAAGATCAAAGAAGAGTTGATACTTTTGAATTGTGGTGTTAGTGAAGAGTACTGAAAGCACCATGAACTTTCAAAAATAACTAACAAATCTGTTCTGGAAGAACTGCAGCCAGATTGCTCTTTGGAAGAGAGAATGGCCAGACTTCATCTCACCTACTTTGGTCATGTTGTCAGAAGTGACCTGCCCCTGGAGAAAGATATCATGCTTGGTAAAGTGGAGGGTTGGTGAAAGAGGGGAAGGCCATCAGCGAGATGGCTACAGTGATGGGCTCAGATATAGCAAGGATTGTGAGGCTGGCACAGAACCAGGCAGTGTTTCGTTCCATTGTACATAGGGTTGCTATGAGTTGGAGCCAACTCAAGGGCACCTAACAACAACAACAACAACAACAATGTAAACAAGTGAAGTAGGGAGGATGTGAGACAGCAAAGAATGGTGAGGATTGTGGCAATGTGGGAAGCATTTGCATGGTCCAAAGACATTCAAATAATTTATTTATTTATTTTTTAACAATGTGGGGACCAAATCAAATATATCTACTGGACAATTTCAGCAATCCTTGGCCTTAGTGTTCTATCAGTTTGCATAACTTTTTTTTTTTTTTTTAAATCACATTCTTGGTCTTGCTTTGAGTTGAATATGAAATGGATTAAAATGGTGAGAGAAGAGAGGAGAAGGGAGAGGAAGTGGAATAGGAAATTCAGAGACACTGAGGCACAATGGGGAAAGGACAGGCCGTTTCATCAGTGTAGGTGGCAGAAAAATGAGAGACTTGAGCTCTGAACCTAGGGATCACTTTACTCTAATAGACAGTAGGGTGCACTTTAAAGCAATTTTAAAGGAGAACATGTGTGGGCTTTGCTCTGTGCAAATGTCACTGCATCATGTGAGCAGGCATCACTGATGCTGTTACAGTGCAAAAAAAGAAAAAAAGAGAAAAAAAACCAAACAAAGAAGTTGATTAAGGCTATAGGCACAGCTGTGCATTCATTTGGTTACTTGGCATCCCGGCATTCACTTTTCTCATTTAAATCTGCCAGAGGCAAAACTGCCACTTGTCTCAAATTATCATGGAAATTTCCCCCTCCCCCACAGGAAATTAAGTATGATTAAATAATTTCAAGTCACCCAAATTTTGCAGAAACAACTAGAAACAAACATGTGTTTATATTCTTTTG